GTTAAAATTCTAGAATATAAGGCATTTGGCTTTGATTTACATAAGGTATATGCAAAAACCTACTATTTTCTATTGCTTCTCAGAAATGTGTATAGAACTTAAATACATACACAGAGCAGGAAGGGATTAGATGTTAATGAATTGAACATTAAAAAGATATGAACAACTAAAATTTAGAATGTTTTAGGATTCTTGTCCTTCTAACAAAAGCACCTTTCAGTTAACATCATAATGACAGATTAACAGGATAAATGAATTCAGTGAAAGTAAAAAAGACTGAATTTCACTGATGATGTCTATTACAAGTCAAGTCATCCCCCATACCTCCCAAGGTTGTATGTGCTTGGTTCTCAAGTGGGAACCAGTGACAGGCTGCAGGGGACTCAGGGATACCTAAAAGTCCTAAAAGTATGTAAATTTTGGTGCGCTGGTGCATTTTTCAAATAAGAAAGTGGTTTAATATTTTGCAGAAAGAGTAATTAAGAACCTCTGTAATCAGGCTGTAGTTCTGTAGTCAGGGGCTCTGATCTCTCCATTGTATACTAACAATACAGTAGCGGGCGAGGACAGGCCATATTCTGTTGCCCTGTTACATTTCCTGCTTCGATCACATTTATCCAGGCTGTCCCCCACCTGTGCCATCTCTGCAGGACTACCTGACAACCACTGAACAGCAGTTTAGCAGCCTAGCTACAGGAGGCTCTACCTGCCTCGTCCTGGGCCAGTCCAAATTCCCTAGCTGGATTAGTGTGCAGGAGCCTTCCAACCAATGAGCTGAAGAAAATCAGGCTATCAGACTGGCTTAAGCCTTAAGGAGACGTGGACTAACTCGCTCAAAAATATGTGTAGAATCCCTGGCATCTCCCCATCTCCACCTTAATCCAAGCTGCCTGTACCTGCTGACTACAGTGTTGCAATAGTCCCTAGGCTGGACTCTGCTTCTGTTCTTGCCCTGAAACTCACTCTCATAGTCCACTTTCCATGTAGCAGCCAGCATCTATTTTAGAAGGGAGAGGATATCACTCCCCTTGTTAAAATCTTCCAGTGGCTTCCCATTATACTTAGAATAAAAGCCAAATGCAGATTACAAAAGCCTATGTAATCTGCCACCTCTCCACCTCATTTTGAATCATTCTCTCCTCCATCTACTGTATCTGAGCTATAATACATTGCTTCTTTTTAGGGTTCTTGAACACCTCAAGCTTGCCCTGCCTCCCACTTTACATTTGCTGCTCCTTCTGTGTGAACCCACTCTCCCCAGATCTTTATATGCCTGGCTTATTTTCATCATTCTGTCTCAGCTCAAACATCACCTCCTTCGAGAGGCATTCCTGCCCCACCAGCAGCCCGTCACTCTCCATCACACTAGGGCAAAGGCTGTGTTCTGGAATCCAGAATAGAATCTGACATAGTATAGGAACACCATACATACATGTTAAAAATTAATAATTTAAGTGGTAATTTCCCAGACTCAGCAAACATCGGGCCAGGGCATAACAAGTTAGCAAGGTGAACTCAAGCTATCACTTGCCTGGTATCTATTAAACATACCCCAAAAGTGCCAAAGAAAAGACCTTCTCCCTGCCCTTAAAGAGGTCACAATCAGGGGAGGCTAGGAAGCAATCTACAGTGGCGATTTTGAACCAAGTGATAGAGAAGTGTGAGAAGAGAAGCAGTGGGTAAGCGGTGGGTAAAACGCATAGTGGGAATGAGCCCAGCGCCGGAGTTCTTCCTAAAAGGCAGCCCATTTACTCGGTGTTCACACACTAAACAGTCCTTGTTCCGGCTGATGGTGACTAATATTCCCTTTAGAAGGTACAAAGCCTTTCCCACTTACTAACTCCTATATATACTGGTCTGTGAGCATCTGAAGTACAGAAACCCTGCCTCTCCACCTCGGCATCCCTGAGGCTCAGTACACTCCACAGCGCCTCCTAGTGCTCGCTGCATGTTGGCTGAACAGAGCCGATTAATCCTCGCATCTGACTGAGTTCAGAGGGACAAACACCGTATCTCCATTTCAAAGATAAGTTGCCTAAGGTTCAGTGAGCCTAAGTAACTCCTCTAAAACTACAGAGAAAGTGACAGCTGACACATGAATTCAGATCTCCTGACTCCACTACACCAAAGCTTCCGGCAGGTACTGGAGCTTCCAATGGCCCTTCTGATGCAGTTGCCACTTCTGACAACGAGCCAATGAAAAGTATCTTTCCCTTTGCTATACAGAGAAACTAATTCCATAAATTACTATCTCGCAAGCTCATTTAGTGACCCAAAATTCACTTAGTAAAGAACCTAAAATACAAATTCCCTTGTTAGAGTCAGGTAAATTAGTGAGCACGCCTATGTGTAGGATTTTAGACCTGCTGGCATGGCTTTCCTGACCGCAAATCCCATCTCCTGCACTGTGATGCCTAAAATTCCATTATTAGTGTTTACTGTAGTCATTTTAGGCAATGGTTGTTAGCCATTATTAGAATAGTGCATATTAGACTAACGAACAGATTAAACTCTATAGGACAGATGACCTATATTTTAGGCAAGGATTTACTTACTTTTTTTTTAGAATTCAAGGACACCAGGAAGGCAGCTATACTTTATGCCATTAACAGTCACTTGTAATTTATATTAATGATTTTATCCTAACTTTTCCCTAAAAAATATTTTGTTCATGCTCTCATATCCCCCCCCTCCCTCTCTCTCACCTCTCTCTCTCTTTCCCCCCCCTCTCTCCTCTCTCCCTCCCTCCCTCCTTTCCTCCCTCCCCCTCTCTCTCTCTCCTTTGGTTCTACAGGCAGGACACTTTTTTTTTCCTTATAAAATTACTTCGGTTTGACACTTCGCAAATGAATGGGGAGTATGTGATGTAATAACGGCAGCTGAGCTGGAATGTAAACTCGGACCTCTAAAAGTCAGTCCTGAGAAACAGCTATCTCACAAGTATTTGTATTTCAGTCAAATGAACTGCAGTGGTTATTTAATTTAAAAAATACTGTTATTCAATAGCTGTCTAATCTTAGGCAAGTCATATAACTTTCCTAAGTCTCAGTATCATAATCAGTAAAAGGTAAAAATTATTATTAGTTTCAGGTTATGAAAGAATAATGATTAGACATTTACACCCCTCAAGAGTGATAACCCCCAAGTCTACTACCCCTCTGACAGCATACATAGCTATTACAGTACCACTGACTATATTCCCTATGCTGTACTTTATATCCCGTGACTATATATATCTTTAATTATAGTTGACATTCAATATTATTTTATACTAGTTTCAGGTGTACAGCTCAGTGGTTAAGCATTTATATAACCTATGAAGTGATCCCCCCAATAAATCCAGTACCCATGTCACAACCTACTTTTTACAACGGTTTGATTATATTCCCCATACTGTAGTTCACATCCCCATGACTATTTTGTGACTAGCAATTTGTACTTCCTAATCCCTTCAATCTTCTCACCCACCCCCACAACCCCCCTCCCATCTAGCAATCATCAGTTTTTTTCTCTGTATCTGAGTCTATTGTTGTTTTGTCTGCTCATTTATTTTGTTCTTTAGATTGCACATATAAGTGAGATCATATGGTATTTGTCTTTCTGAGTCTGACTTATTTCACTTAGCATAATACCCTCTAGGTCCATTCATGTTACAAAAGTTAAGATTTCATTCTTTTTTTATGGCAGAGTAATACTCCATTGTATTAATGCACAACAATTTCTTCATCCAGTTGCCTATTGATGGGCATTTTGGTTGTTTCCATATCTTGGCTATTGTGAATAGCATTGCAATAAACATAGGGGTGCACATATGTTTTCGAATTAATGTTTTATTTCTTTAGATGAACACCCAGGAGTGGAACTGCTGGGTCATAAGGTAGTTCTATTTTTAATTTTTGAGGACCTCCATACTGCTTTCCATAGTGGCTGCACCAATTTGTAATCCCCCGAACAGTGCACAAGGGTTCCCTTTTCTCCACAGCCTCGCCAACACTTGTTTGTTGATATATTGATGCTGGCCATTCTGGCAGGTGTGAGGTGGTATCTCACTGTGGTTTTTATTCGCATTTCCCTGATGATTAGTGATGTTCTGCATCTTTTCATATGTCTATTGGCCATCTGTATGTCCTCTTTGGAAAAATGTCTATTCAGGTCCTCTGCCCATTTTTTAATTGGGTTGTTTTTTTGGCATTGAGTTGTATGAGATTTTTATAAATTTGGATAGTAAAATCCCTTATCAGATATTGGCAAATATCTTCTCAAATTCAGTAGGATGGATGTCTTTTTGTTTTGATGGTTTCCTTTGCTGTGAAAAAACTTTTAATTTGATGTAGTCCCATTTGTTTATTTTTTCTTTTGTTTCCCTTGCCAGAGGGGATATATCAGTAAAAATATTATGAAGGGTATTGTCTGAGAGTTTACTTCCTATATTTTCTTCTAGAAGTTTTATGGTTTCGGGTCTTAAAGTCTTTAATCCATTTTGAATTTATTCTTGTATATGGTGTAAGAAGGTGGTTCAGTTTAATTTTTTTGCATGTATCTGTCCAATTTTCCCAGCACCATTTATTAAACAGACTGTCTTTTCCCCAATGTAACTTCTTGCTTCCTTTATCATAGATTAAATGACCATATAGGCATGGATTTATTTCTGGGCTCTCTGTTCTGTTCCATTGATCTATGTGTCTGTGTTTATGCCAATATAAAAGGAGAAATTATAACATATGATCTTTAAAGGCCCATTCAGACCTAAATTGTGATTTTAAATTACAATGAAAGACTCAGGGCTAAAGAAGTAGGCCTAAATTGGGAGAAGAAAAATTCAAGTTAGAAACAAAGACTTCTAGGGCTTTTGGAAGGAATAATAGCAAATGCTGAAACAAGTTCTTGAGATCTTAAAAAACAGTATTGATAAAAACCTTGGACAGTTTTGATATTCTAGATTTAATTGCTTTTGAAAATCACTCAATTATGGACTCCAGCTTAGTTACATAAACACTTACCTCTGCCAGCATATACATGGAGAGTAGTGTGATTCCGAGATTATACAAGGTGAGGATTCCCTTCAGAGAAAGAGCATGTCTGTTCTTCATATATTTGTTACCCAGCCATATTGAAAGTAGATATATGACAGTAAGAAAAAAGGTAGGAAGGTAGGAGTCCAACATGAACCATCCTCTGACTCGAGAATCTGAAAAGGAACACATACTGTGAGAATCCTGAAAAATAGCACTTCTGAATGCTATAAGATACTGGCACATATATTTTATTTGTACATACCAAATACAACAGGGAACACAGGACACAGCGTTAAGTTAGCTAGATCTGGGTTATCGTTCAGAAGAGGAAACCAGTGGGGGCTGGAATTGTTAAGGAAGGTGTCATGGAGCAATGCCTAAGCTGAACACTGAATGACAGGAAAAGGTAATGAAGGTGGGAAGTAATAGTTCCTGAATGTCTACTTTGGAATAATGACTACATTTATTTGCTCTAACTCAGTAAATATGAAGTATGTTATGCCATTTTTTTTCTTTTTTTTTTTTTTTAAGATTTTTTTTGGGGAATTGGGGGGATGGGAACAGTGCTGGGTAACTGGGGGAAGGGGAACAGACAAGTTGATGTCCTTTCATTCTTCAGTCTAGTTGTGGAGGATGTTGCTTCACTGGCCCAAGTTGGCACCATCATTGCGCTCTTCCCGGGCAAGGCACATCAGTCGCTGGCTTCTGGACGGCTGCTCACTGCGGCTGCTGGCCGCTCACACTGGCTGCTGGCTACATACAGTAGCCCATGGCAACCCACTGCCACAGGGGCTGCAGCCTACACCATCGCCGGCGACTCACTGCAGCCCAGCTCCAGGTTGAGCTGTTGTTCAGCATCTTAGCTGTAGTAGAGGGCAGTGTCACTGGCCCTCATATGTGGGATCTGAACCGGGGCCCTCTGGCATCCCAAGCCAGTTCTTAACCATCGTGCCACTCGGCCGGCCCTGTTATGCCATTTTATGGATGAAAAAAAACACTCAGAAAGCTTTTTAGTAACTTGCAAAAGGCCACACAAAGTCGGCGGTAGAGTCAGGATTTGAATTCATGTCTGACTCTCATCCTGTCATACTTTGCTGCTGCCTCCTGTGGAGAAGTTTCCCAGAGACAGAAAGCATACTGACACAGTATCCTAACTCCTAAAACCCGCACTCCTGGGAATTTGCCTAGGATCACTGTGCAGTCAACCAAGAACGGTGTTAGAGTTCAGCTGACCCCACAGAGCCACGGGGCTTCAGCATGGCATGCATGAGGGCTGAAGACTGCAAAGGCAAAGCCTTGGAGCTGAGGATTCAAAACTGAGAGCAGGAGGTAAAGCCGAGGACCCAAACCTGCCCATGGACTAGAAGTACAAACAGCCAGGAGGCCAGGACCTAGACATATCAAGTGTCCCTTACTCTGGACAGTGAAAATTTAAAAACCTAAATAAAACACAGATAATCTATAATTAATAACACCTGAAAATAATTATAGGCACGAAAAATGATTTTTGTTTTCTATGTTGCTTTTTGGTTTTTTCAATAAAGGTAATGATTTGGCCCAGAATTATAAAAGTTGCATGCTGTGTTTAATCTCCATAAATAGAGCTGTGAGCGCTGGCTCCTCCAGAAGATAGAGCCCTTCTCCTCATCTCTGCAGACCTCCCAGGCCCAGCCCCGCTCTCTGTTCTCCTCTGCCCCCGGACCCCCAGCCTCTCTTTAAACCACTCCACCCTACCGAATGCCATTTCTAAGAAAAGGGGCTTCTCAAGCTCTGTCCCATCCCTTATTCTGTAAACTTCTCCTATTTGTGATAGATTTAAGAAAGGAACATTCATGTGACTATGATATTACCTTTCATACAACTAGCTCGTAATTATCTGTCATGAGAGTTTGTGCTATGTGTCACTTCCTAACATTTATCTCTTCATCTAAATCTTACTCATCCTTTCATGCTCAGGTAAAGTCCTGCCTTCTGAAGGAAGCCACTGACTACTGCTCTTCCCTAACTAGAGCTCTTCATCAGCATAACAAAGTAAGTATCACTTTACAATTTGTTATTATGGCTATCATACTGGTATGTAACTAACATTCACTGACCACTAATTCTGTGCCACACACGGTTCCAAAGCCCTTTACATGTATTAACTTACTTAGGTGGGTGGTATTATTTTTAACAGCTTTATTGAGGTATGATTGATACACAGAATTCTGCATTTACTTAATGTGTACAATGATGAGTTTGGACATATGCACATACCTGTGATGCCATCACCACAGTCAGAGTCATACACATATTATCCCCAGTTTACATTTGAGAAAAACTGCGCCACAAAGGGTTAAAAAAGTTAAGTAATTTGTATTAAACTCCTACTCTACCTCTTGTTACACTGTTATGGGTTGAACTGTGTTCCCCAAAAAGATATGTTCAAGTCCTAACTTCTGGTACCTATGATTGTGACCTTATTTGGAAATAGGGTCTTTGCAGATGTAATCAAGTTAAATGAGGTCATATGGGTTAACCAGGAGACTGGTGTCCTCATGAGAAGGGGAGATTTGGATTCAGGGATACAAAGAGAATGCTATGTGAAGACAGAGGTAGGGATTGGGGTGATGCATCTACAAGCCAAGGTATGCCAAAGATTACTAGAAACTACCAGAAGTTCATAGAAAGGCACAGGACAGATTCTTCCCTAGAACCTGAAGGGAGCAGGGCCCTGCCAACACCTTGACTTCAGACTTGCAGCCTCCAGAACTGAGAATAAATTGCTATTGTTTTAAGCCATGTGGTTTGTGGTACTTGGTTACTGCAGCCCTAAGAAGCTAATACACACGGTTAACTTCATGGCTTTCCAATTGTTTCATGTTCCCGTTTTACTTTCCCACTTACAGTGTATGCTCCATGGACAGAGACCAGGCCTTACATTTCTACTCTCACATAGAACTGTACAGCACCTGAAGTTTTTCATTTCCTTATGTCATGGTCCTATAAATATTTGCTACAATTATTAGAGAGGATGATAATTATGCCAACCAAAAGGCAGGAACAAATACTCGTAACAAGATTATTACCTCTGGGACCTGGGAAGTGCTTAGCTCTGCATCTGTGTCAGGTATTGGCCCAGAACAACATCTCCCTGATGGTATTAAGATGGTGTAGGTAAAATCAGAAAAGGCTTGGGGACACCTGGAAACTGAGACGGGGGCTGCCAGTCAACTTAAGCTCTAGCCACTTTTAGGAAGGGGTCAAGGATTCATGATGGCCTAGATGCCAGACTGTCTGTCACTATGGAGGTCACCTAGTCCAGTTGTTAACTGTCAGTCTTACAGTCTCTTTGCTACAAAGGAGACATCCACAAAAACGACCAAAGCAGATTAAACAACTGCAATTCTATCCTTACTTGACCCCATATCCACATAATTCCAAATCCTATTGATTGTACCGATGGCAAAGTTCATTGTGAAGAGACTGTTATTTAACTCTCCAGTGGCCGGGTCAAACAGAAAGCCAGTCACCCAAACTCCCTCCATGCCCAGTTAGTGTGTTACTACACTACCCACTAGAACTGTAAGGCAGGGATCATAGTAAATAAAGTGGTTACAAGATAAAGGTATCCCATCTGCCCTACCCCCCAGGATCACAAGGATAAAAAGGAAACAAAACAAAGCCAAAGACTATGCAAAAGTATTTTTTAAAAAGCTCTACTGAATCACAGAATATTTTATTAAAATGATAGTTATTCACGTAGAATGACTTAGAATAGTTTATGGAGCCTGTATAGAAAATGGAGAGTGGTCTAAATAATCTCTAAGTGATTCTGTTTAAAGATCTTAAGAAAAAAGAAAACCTTATTTCCCTCCTCCCGCCACCCAATAGTGCTAAAGAAATAACTTGTAGATTTTTCACAGCTTTGTGAATCAGCAAGGCTCAAGTGAAACAAAACATATTGCTTAGAATTTATTCATTTATTTGCAAAACATATAGTGCCTAACCTGTTCCTGGAACTGTAATAAGCCCTGGAGATACAGTCATGGTTCCTGCCCTCATGGGAGAAAGACCTATTAATAACAATAAAGTATATGTAGGAAATAAAGAAAGGCTGAAACAGAGAATAATACGGGGGCTACTTTTGAGAGGCAAATTCCCTGACATCTTTCTAGAGAAAGCCAACCTAAGAAAGTAACATTTAAGCTGATACCTGAAGTATGAGAAGGGGCTCACTATATTGGGGGATGGAGTAGGAGATAGTGGGGAGGAATTCCAGACTCCAAGAACAGCACATGAAAGAATTTTATATATTTGAGGAAGTAAAAGACATCAGATGTCCAAGTGAGTGGGGAAGAGTGGCACTGACGGTTGGAGAAGTAGCCGGGGCTGGATAATACAAGGCTGTTATCATGTGGTCCGTGATACAAAATTTGGGCTTTATCCTAAGAGTACTGGGAAGCCACAGATAAGTGTTAGGCTCGAGTCCCACAGACTATGATTGAGGCTTTTAAAGTATTAGCCTAGCTGGCACTTAATAAATGCTTGGAAGAGGGGAGACTAGTTAGGATAACTAATAACCTCTTAGCACTGAGTTGAGAGGAAAGAGTCATTAAATATACTCGTACATCAATTAGACATTGAGTTAGCTGGCACATGGCAGTAGTCTAAGTGACTGGTGACAGAGGAATGATTGAGAGACTCAGTGACTGAGAGCTTAGGAGCTCAACCTAATGGCTACGGCAGGGACAGCTCACACATCGTTACAGATAATTTTTAAGACACCTAAGGGCAGACAGACTGTGCATGGGAGGAAGGTGGAGGGTTAATGGGTGGTGGAAAGAGGAAAGAAACAGCATATGTTCAGAAGGAAAGCTACCACCTGCTTTGGCAACCAGTTTTGGTAACTTTGGTAGCTGGAGCGACACCAAAGGGAAGTACGGCGCTGCGTTCTATTTCTACTTCCTGCTCCCAGAACCTTAATCCCAGGAGAGGCTGAGCAGGAGAAACAAGGCATCTGGGTGTTCCCGGAGAAGGACATCAAAGGTGAGGGACGTCAAGTCTCTAAATGTTAGGTGCCATATTATTTTCAAGACACCAGAAGTGATATAATCCTCTTCTATAACTAAATACAGTGTTCCTTCCACATTAAGTTCTCAAGTGGCTCACTCACCTCGAGGTCCAAACATGTTGTCCAAAAAAGCATTGACTTCATCATCAAAGGCCTTTAGATGCTCCTGAAAGTTAAAGAAAAAAATGATTTTAGTATGTTTGTTTGGAAACTCTTAAACCACTACAACAATGTTGAGTGACAGACTCCGCAGGGGTCCTAGCTTCAAGGACTCTGACTGCAAAGACCTAAGGAAAGTGAACCAGTAAATGTAGTCCCTCCTCTCACAGCTTGTAAAGATTGGGAAGGAAACAATTCCTCTTTCATTTCCTTAGGCAAGAGCAGTACTGACAAAACGGGCTGGGTACATTTAAACATTGAAGGGTTATTGACCTTAATTCCATTTCCCTCTAAAATGCTTAGAGGTATAAGCATTTCCATAAGCAACTTCTATTGTTGCAGAGAACAGGAATTGCGTGTACGCAAGAGGGAAAGTCTATTCCTGCAGGATAAAACATAATTATTAAATGAAAATTCAGTTGAATTGTATCACAAAGCTGGCTTTAAAGGGGGCTTGTTTTTTAAACAAGGAAATTAAGCATTATAGTTATTTTTTTCCATTACCTTTATATTTTGTTTGTTTTCTAAACTTAAAAAAATACATTAACATCTATTTAATATTACAGTAAAGAGTGTCCTGGGGTACATGAAATTACTGCCACTTTAATTGAATTCAGATTGGGATTGAATGATCTCTGCGAACAATTTTAAGGTTGCTAAATGGGCTCCTGGCTCTTGATTTAGCTCCTATGCATGCTGGTCTACTGTTATACTGCTCCAAATACCTGCTAAGGTGTTCCCTATCCCTGTACAAAGGCCTAGAGCACCTCCTCAAGCAAAAAAAACAAGGGATGGAGCACTTCCCAATGTTCCTAGGACAGCGATCTGTGATGAGGATTTGGGGCCCATGGATTGGTCCCTGATTATGTGAGTTAGTATGACACCCCTCAGAAGTTCATAGAACATTCTCTATAATCAACAGCAGGACTGCAATAAAAAACATCCCATTCTCAAAAGAAAGTGTAAGTGCCAAAGAGGAGAATTAATTTACTGGCATCTGAAGAGAAGATCTAAATGTCTGGTGATTAGCACACACTATTCCTTACTGGTGACTTTGATCCTGAGAGAAATTTCAAGAAAACTTTAGGTCTTTGGGAACTTTAGGAAGGAGGATGAAGATTAGAGGCGAATATTTATTAGTACCTACTACTGCTGGCCAATTAGTATTATTGTAGTATATGGCCAAAAAGTATTAGGAACTTTTTTATTTCATAATATCTCTATAAAATGTATCTGGGCGAAATGAGCTTGGAAGTTTTTAAACAGTGTTTTTATCTTTGTGTTCTATGAAGGGCATCTCAGAATACCTCCAGACTTGAGAAAGGTCAGTTACCTAACATCTCAGTGTGACAGAATGTGATTTTTTGTTGCCATTAAAATAGAGCAGAACTGTCTAGATCTCTCATTCTGAACAAAATATGTTAACTTCACTGACGTACCCTCCCTCATAACAAATACCAATGAAATCTTTCTTTCATTGCCACACCCATCCACAAATATTTAAACTTTTTCAGTTTGTTTGCTAAGGTTCAAAATCCATTTTCCAACATCTGGAGATCAAACAACACTCTAATTTAAAGGTCAGAAAGCTTGTATTATTTCTATCATCTTGCAGAAATATAATCACAGTGGAAGGATAGCAGAAACAAAAGAAAAGTAAGAGGGGAATATATAAAGGGAGAACAGAGAATAAAAGAAATGAATGAGAAGGGACATTCCATTCTTTCAGTCATTATTTACTGATTCATTAACCAATTATCTGAACATTACTATGTGCTAACACCATGTTAGATGCTGAAATACAAAGTCAAATGAGACATGGTCCTTATCTTTACATAAGATAATAGAGATGTAAATCAATAATTACTTAGTGTCTTAAATATGATGAGAGACATTTATAAGGATGTGTTATAAAAACACAGAAGAAGGAAATATTCAGCCATAAAAAGAAGGAAATCTTGCCATTTGTGTTAATATGGATGGACCTGGAGGGCATTATGCTAAGTGAATATACGACAGAGAAAGACAAACACCATATGCTCTTACTTATGTGGAATCTAAAAGCAAACAAACAACAAACAAAAACAACAAAAAAACCCCAAACAAACAAAAAAACCTCAGATACAGAGAATAGATTGGTGGCTACCAGAGGCAGAAAGGGGGGTGGGGGCAATGGGTGAAGGTGGCCGAAAGGCACAAACTTCTAGTTATAAAATAAATAAGTCACAGAGATGTACAGTAGGGTGACTACAGTTAATACTGTATTGCATATTTGAAAGTTGCTGACAGTAGATCTTAAAAGTTTCATCACAAGAAAAAAACATTTGTAACTATGTACGTAACTGGACTTATTGTGGTGATCATTTTGCAATATATAAAAACATCAAATCATTATTATGTTGTATATCTGAACAAACAAAAAGAACACAGAGGTAGGAAATTTAATTTAGATATCTTAAAAACAGAAGCCCTCTGAGAAGAGCTGCTGCTGTTGCTGAGTGCTGAATGACTCTAGGGAGTCCTCTCGATGGAGAAGGAAAGACAGCATCTGGGGGAGAAGGATCAGCATATGCAATCACACTGAGACATAACTCACTTGGGAAATGGTCATGGACAGGGTCTCTAGTGATCTGTACGACAGAAACAAAGCCAAGGCTGGGAAAACCAGAAACCTGACTTCTGGGTTAGCTAAGCCAGTTATTAAGGATGTAGTCTAAAAAGATAATGATGACATCAGAAGAACAAATCAAATTTACCCTGGATTAGTAAAATGTAAGTGTAAGTACAGAGTTGGGTAGTGTTAGTTAACTAAGGTGAACGCGTAGCAAACGGTGATAGAGCAGAGTGTGGGTAATGAATTAATCGCTGTACACTAGGTTCTATATGTGTAAATTCAAAAGCATGCTGGACAATTTCTCAAGTCTAACATAACCCAGGAGCTAAGAAAAACCAGTGAATGACATGCAGCACTTCATTCATTCAATCAGCATCTTTTGTGTACATAGTACTTTGTTGGACATATGAAGAAAAAGGGGATAGAGTGATTGACTCAAAAGCTTACAGACAAATTGGGAAAGTGAGGAATACAAACAAAAGCAAACAGAAAACAACTGAGGAGATATACAGAACTGCGACAATGATGGAAGATATAGGAGTGAGGACTTACAATGGGTTTTTAAGAAGGTTAGAATCTGGACAGATTAGAAAAGGGGAATAGTACTACCCTTTGACCTATGCAAGAGGGGTACTATCCTGAACCCCCAAATTTAGAGGGTCCCACTCTGGTCATCCTTAGGCTATACCCCTCCACACAGGGGAAAGAAATCCTCTGAGCCAAGGGAAATGCCTACCTATGGCCACAGCTTTCCCCTCCAGCCTATATTCAAAGTACGCTGGGGCACAGAATTCTCTGCCAAACAATTCTGAGCTGACTTCTAGGACAACTTCCGGGATTTCTTCTTACCCACATAGTCAAGTCCACACTCCATGATTTTGAATTCAATTTGTGGCTGTAATAACTGAATAGCAATAACTGAAGGACAGCAAGACTGGAAGCAAGTAGGGCCTTATTTAGTTGTGTAACCCTGATCGCTTACAACATCTGGCAGTAATATAAAATGATACCACATTTGGAAAACAGTTTAGCGGTTTAATAAAAACATAAACATTCAACTATGATCCAGCATGCCACTTCTGGGTATTTACCCAAGAGAAAATAAAGCATATACCCATGAAGTGACTTATATACAAATATTCATGGCAGCTTTATTCATATTAGCTAAAAAATGAAAACTTTCCAATTTCCCATCAACAGGTGAATGGATAAATTATAGTATAGCCATACAATGAAATATTATGCAGAAATATAAAGGAATGAACTACTGATGCACACACAACATGGACAGATCTCAAAATTATGATGCTGCATTAAAGATGCTAGACACACACAAAAAAGAGTACATACTATTTGTTTCCATTTACGAAACTGTAGAAAATATAAACTTATGTATGTGACAGAAAATCTTGGTTGCCTGGGACTTCAGGCAGCGGAAGCAGAATATCCTTCAAAAATGAGAGTGAAATAAGGATATTTTCATATATCCATAAGTGGGAGAATTTGTAGCTAGCAGAGCTGTGCTATGAAGTATGCTAAAGATATTCTTCATGCCAAAAGGAAATGATTTCATATGGAAAGTAGCATTTACAGAAAAGAGTCAAGAGCACAAGAAATGGATCTAACTGAAAAGCCATAGCTCAGAGCAAGCTGGCCTCCACCCATTTCATCACGTCTGTTGTAACTGCCATCACCACCTCTCCCACCACGCACATCTTTACCACCAGGAGCAGTGTTGCATAACACCCAGGTGGTGTCCTGCACCTGCTCCTTCTCCTACCTAGTCATGTGACACACAGCTCTCAACACTGGTGCGTTAGACCACCATGCCCTCCTGCCTCAGGTAACATTTCCTGAGAATACTTGGGAAACAGAGGAACCATGAAAGGCACACCTAGGTTTTTGCCACAATGATGCTGACTGGGATTCCCACTCAGCCCTAACTGCATCAGTTGGAGCTCAACATAATGCACCTCAAACGGAAGGCCATTTCTGGGTCTGTTCTTGAAGATACGAACTCTGTGATCATTGTGGGGATGGCCTCAACCTGAACACCTAGATAACTCACGTTTTCTTCAGCAAAGGCAGTCTTGCAATCAGAATAATTAGTGCCGTGATTAAGGATCATTCTAAAAAAGCTGACACAGGAAGCAAAGCAGAAATAAACCCCACCATAGAAACTCTCCCTGTGCTTTTTCTGATCTCTAAATTATAGAACTCCAGATTCCGTTTTTTCTTCCTTTCCTTCTTCCCTTCCTCTGTTTTCCCTCTTCTGTTGCTTTCCTGGTTCACTTCTTCACCTTCTTCCATTCCTTTTCTCTGTACTTCCTTCATTCCACTTTTTCCTACCTCCCTTCCTTTCCACTGCTTCCTTCCTTTCCTCCCTCCTTCAC